AAATCTAGAAAAAAGAAATGATTAATAATATAATCATAATGATAATCAGGAATTTTTAAACAATACAATATCCCTAGCCTCTCCTTTGATATATAACATTTTATCATAAAAAAATGAAGAATAGAATTGGAATGGGATATCTCTACGAAAATTTGCGTGTTTTAAAAAATAATGAGTAGTTTTGAATTACTCGCTTTAATTAATCGTCAAAGATCATTGAACGTGAAGATCCAAAAAACTTGTATTTTTTTAATAGATTCCGAGATATTGCGCAAAATAAATTTCGTGGTTCCGCCTCTTGGCCTTTAAATTTATCCCCAAATTCCGAGTGGCATAAATTTATATTCACATACACACATAATTACCCAGATGCAAACTCCAGCGTTATATCCTCATAACTAGAGTTATTGACCATTGTTTTCGTGAATTGCGTAACCCAGATTTCGATGAATCAGTTAAAATGAGAGGATAACAAAAATATGATAAATAAAATTCCCATATAATAAATGGCATTGCGTCAGGATTAGACGACCTCGATAGTGTATTTTTGTTTCATTGAGGCCCAGAACCCAATTGTTCCCCGGAGGGGGGCCTCTACTTAAAAAGCCCTCGCCTTCTGTAATTAAAATTACTAAATGGAAAAATCATTCGCCTTGATGATCCGTCCGAAATTTTCTGGGGAATGATTATTATTCGTGAATCGTTTGGGCCTGAATGGGCATTATAACTTGCTGCAATTGATTTTCACACGTGGATCACGTGAAAATATGCCGAATAACGATGCAAAGAATTATAATGGCGATGAGTGTAGACATATGCCAGTGGTGTATTGCGGGGACCCAGACGGGCGTGTCATAATGGGCCTTCGTGCCCCACCGGGGAATTACCTCATGGGTATGACCTTGTTACATAGTATGCAAAGAATACCGTTGCACTTTCATTCTCGAAAATGAGACAGAAAGTTTTATTCTTCTCAGTCAATTTCGACATTTTCGAGCTTATCAATTAACTCGGAAGATTATACAGAGATATTCTCCTGTAAATTCCATTGAACTACCCCGAGAAAAAAAATATGAATAATAGAAACTCTACGATTGATCGAAATCACTCACCGATTTGAAAGTAAAAAAAATTCAATTACGGTGAGAAGTTCCTTGTTCACGTGATACGATATTTTTATCTTTTGAATTGATTCTATTTGGGTTTTAATTAGGGAAAGATTTTTTTTTTTCAATGCGCAATTTGTGCGTTTAATGCCCATTGTGTCTGTGGAAACTTTTATCACATTGTTTTATTTCTTATTCAAAGAAAAAAATTGAATTTTTACAAGAGTATAATTTTTACCGGGATGTACTCATGATTTAAACAAAAATAACAATTTTTTGGGAGAGATTTCCATTTTTTTTTGGGAAATCATTACCATATATTTTTCTGTGCTAATTGTTTGAAAATTTTTGTCTTAATGGACAGAGAGAAATTGTCTAGAAAAATTCTAGTGCTACAGGGAGAGAAATTTCCGAGAAAAACTTTAGTGCGCTGGTAGAAAAGGGGCCAAAGCCCTGGAAAAAATTCTAGTGCTGGCGCTGTAATTTTTACTGGATTTCTGTGAAAATTTCATATAAATAAACAGGAGAAATGAACATGCCAGCACTAACATATTTTCATAGCAATCACTTTGCATTCCCTTTCTTGTCCTGTACTCCAGTTTTCTTTCAATTCCTCCACGTAATAAATCTAGTGCGTACACCGATAATTTTATTGGTTTATAATAAATAATCAGAAAAATAATCATTCTACTCCGAATATTTCCATCAAAATTCATCAATTCCAGAAAACACTCCGTTTTATTAATTACCCGAAAAATCTTCCGTCTTCACCCGAATGAAATCTACTGTCATTATTTATTTATCAAAAATCTCTTTGACTAAAAATCTTTTAACTCCCATCTTTTAAATAAAAAAAAAATCACCATTTTGAAATACAACAGTTCAATAAAAATTATCCAAGGAAAATCCCCCGTAAAATGCCGCCATAAACTGAGCTCCAGCCTCGTCCGAGAAATTTAAAATTCGCCATAACCTATCGGGCATAATTAATCATAAAC